GCGGGAATGGCAATGGGGGCCTGCAGCCTGCTCAAACAGGTGGGAATTCCCGGAATTCCCGGAATTCCAGAGGGAATTCCAGTGGGAATGGCAATGGGGGCCTGCAGCCTGCTCAAAGAGGTGGGAATTCCCGGGATTCCAGCAGGAATGTGGGAATGGGAATGGGGGAATATGGGAATGGGAATGGGAATGTGGGGGGAATTCCAGCCAGGAATGGGGGAGGAATTCCTCCCTGGAAAGGTTTGGGAATGTTGGCAGGAAATTCCCTCCTGGAAGGCTTTGGGAATGTGGGGGGAATTCCATCCTGCAATGTGGGCAGAGATTCCATCCTGGAATGGGAACCCCTTTTTTCCCCCTTTTTTTCCCCATTTTTCCCCTTTCCCCCCCAATTTCCCCCCTTTTCCCCCCCTTTTTTTCCCCATTTCCCCCCATTTTTCCCCATTTCTCCCCCCTTTCCCCCCCTCTTTTACTCCTTTTTCCCATTTTTCCCATTTTCCCCCATTTTTCCCCGTTATTTCCCCATTTCTCCCCCTTTCCCCCCTCTTTTCCCCCTTTTTCCCATTTTTCCCTCATTTTCCCCCTTTTTCCCATATCCCCCGTTTTCCCCATTTCCCCTGTTTTTTCCCATTTCCCTTGTTTTTTCCCACTTTCCCCATTTTTTCCCATTTTCCCCGTTTTTTCCCATTCTCCCCGTTTTCCCATTTTTCCCTTTTCCCCATTTCCCCATTTTCCCTATTTCCCCCCTTTTCCCCATTCCTGTTTTCCCCATTCCCCCTTTCCCCATTTTCCCCATTCCCATTCCCATTCCCCATTCCCATTCCCATTCCCATTCCCCATTCCCCATTTTCCCCATTCCCCATTCCCCATTCCCCATTCCCCATTCCCCATTCCCATCCCCATCCCCATCCCCCTTTTCCCCATCCCCATTCCCATTTTCCCCATTCCCGTTTTTCCCGTTTTCCCGGTTTTTTTCCCGTCCAGGCCTCGGGGAAGAGCCTGCACCTGCCTGACGAGAGCCAGCAGGGGCTGCTGATGCAGCTGCTGAAGCTGACGCACAACTGCCTGAGCTTCGACTTCATCGGCACCTCCACGGACGAGTCCTCGGACGACCTGTGCACCGTGCAGATCCCCACCAGCTGGAGATCGGGTAAAAAAACACGGATTTTGGGCAAAAACATCCTGATTTTATCATTCATAAAAGATCGGGGCAAAAAACGGCGTTTTTGGGAAAAAAAATCCTGATTTTTGGTCAAAATATCCTGATTTTATATTCGTAAACCTGTGCACCGTGCAGATCCCCACCAGCTGGAGATCGGGTAAAAAAAACTGAATTTTGGTTAAAAAACCCTGCTTTTATCATTCATAAAAGATCGGGTGAAAAAACGGCGTTTTTGGGAAAAAAAATCCTGATTTTTGGGCAAAAAAATCCTGATTTTCGGTCAAAATATCCTGATTTATGGTCAAAATATCCCAGTTTTACCATTCCTAAACCTGTGCACCGTGCAGATCCCCACCAGCTGGAGATCGGGTAAAAAAACAGGATTTTGGGCAAAAACATCCCGGGGTTAGCATTCATAAAAGATCGGGGCAAAAAACGGCGTTTTTGGGAAAAAAAATCCTGATTTTCGGTCAAAATATCCTGATTTTATATTCATAAACCTGTGCACCGTGCAGATCCCCACCAGCTGGAGATCGGGTAAAAAAAACTGAATTTTGGGCAAAAACATCCTGATTTTATCATTCATAAAACATCGGGGCAAAAAACGGCGTTTTTGGGCAAAAAAATCCTGATTTTCGGTCAAAATATCCTGATTTTCAGTCAAAATATCCTGATTTTATCATTCCTAAACCTGTGCACCGTGCAGATCCCCACCAGCTGGAGATCGGGTAAAAAAAACAGGATTTTGGTTAAA